CTGGACAGCACAGACTGAATGAAACCAGTGTGAAGTTTACACGTGGGAGCAGTGAGAGGCACATCTCACTTCCCCTGACCTAGTTCCAGGATGCACAGAATTTGCTGGAGGTTACTGGAGGGGTTCTGCACTGGAAAGTGCACTTCAAAACACAGTACATAGGTAGACTGGTACATAGTTAGACATGAAAGATAAAGAATAAAAGAAACAGGATTCAAGGGCAGCAAGATAATAGTGGGTAGAAGCACTTAGTACACAAGCCTCCTGACCAGAGTTCAGTCCACAGAATCCATGGTGGAAGGCCAGAACCAATTCCCCAAACTTGTTCTCTGACCTCCACATAGGCAGAGAGTGAAGGAGGGAAAGAGAGGAGGGGGAGGGGAGAGAAGGGGAGGGGAGAAACAAAAGGCAGAAACAAAGTGAGAGAAACAGGATTTAGCCCAGGCAAAAGGACAGGAGCTGGACAGCAGTCCTGGAGGACCAACAGCCCAACTTGAGGGAAGTAGAGGTTGCACTAGGCAGGCCTCTCAGGGAAAATAGGGAACGGCTGCGTTTAAGTGTTGGAAAAATTACTGATAGGTGTTTGGCAGATTAAATGGAGTACTTGGAAGAAACAAAATAGATACATAGAAAACCAAGCAGATGAAAGACTAAAGCAGTTATTGTTTGGAAGGAAACATGAGAAGAGGAAGAGAGCGCAGTGCTCGTGGTCAGTTTGGCTCAGGGGGGCTGTATTCAAATTTACACCGTCCACACTATAAACACTCCAGCAGATAAACATTGTATCCAAAACTGTGACATAATCATGCTGGGAGGTTGGGTAAGAGGGAGGGGAAAGTTCAAGGCCTAAATGTTTGCCCCAAAAACAGTAATGGGAAGATATAAAATATATGAAATGGCTTTCTCCAAGGGAAGAGGTAAGGGTGGGAGGGAAGAGGTAAGGAATGACTAAGTTCATTGCCGTTCACCAATGATTGATATTTTTAACAGTGTACACAAATTATTTGCACAAAATAAAATTCTTGGCCTGGAGAGATGGCTCACCAGTTAAGAATATAGTCTGTTCTTGTGGACCAGAGTTCAATTCCCAGAATCCATGTCAGGGGACTCACAACCACCTATAACTCCAGCTCCAGGGGATCTGAAGTCCTCTTTTGGCCTCTGAAGACACCTGCACTCCTATGCACACACCTACACACAGACATATCATTTAAAAAAATAAAACAAATCTTTTTGAAAATGTTGTTAAGGGGGTTGGAGAGATGACTCAGTGGTTAAGCGTACTTACTGCTCTTCCAGAGGACGCATGTTTGCTTCCTAGGACAGTTCACAACCATCTGTAACTTCAGCTCCTGGGGATCTGAAACTCTATTCTGGTCTCCAGTCAGAACATGCACATGGTGCTCTTGCACACATGCCAGCTAAACACTCACACACTTAAAAAATAAATGTTGTGCAGAGTGAACGGGAAATCTGAAAGTAGAAGCAGACTGTCTCATCAATAGCTTAGCTGTGCATGGATGGAGATGGCAGGAGCTAGGGGCTGTGCAGCTCATGGAAAGTTTAACTAAACTGGAAGATGTCAAAGTGTTTTATATCTTCTGAAGAAATGACAGATGAAGAAGAGAACCTGAGGCTGGGGGTATAGCACAGTGTTGAGCGAGAGCGAGAAGGCAGCTGCCCAGCACAGAGCCAGCTCACTAGCCCCCAAGCTCTTCAAACCTAGATTCCTAGGGTTCTGCTAGTCAGGAAAGCCTCGCTTTCTCCTTGGTATTCTGAATCTAAGAAGGAATGAGAAATTTGAGTCTTTTTATATCTCACTCTTCTGGGCGCATTTTCATGTCATGGAAATTACGCTATCACTGTACTACACATCAATGTTGTTTCTTCATTTCTTTCTTGAAAACACCCTGATGAATATACTAACATCCCTAGAGAGACCCAACTACTCCCTGTCAGCCTGTTCTGCAAATATAATAGAAACTGAGTGGCCCTATATAAGCAGGTGATGTTCTCATCACTAGGTGATAAACACGCTGCAGCTATGGCCCTTATCAGAACATTTCTGGGGCTACATGTGGCAGGTGCTTGCCATCAGCTGATTCACAGGTGGGGAAGACCAGTGTCTCCCCTACAGCTGTGAGGATTGTACCAGCACATTCCTAGAAGGCATTATCGTAGCAAAGTCTGCAGAAATGATACCCACGTCCCACCGCCTTCCATCCCCTGCATAAGAAGTCTCTATCCTTCTTATTGCAGGATCTGAGCAGCAGTTGTACACATCAGCCATTTTGAGACCACTTTTATTTTCACATACAGCAGGATTCCGGACAGAGAAAAGAGCCTAAACTTTCAATGCATTCATGTCTACAAAAGCACATTAAAAGGCATCTTAAAAACACATTTACAAGCAGAAGATGGAGTCAGGATACATTTAATCCTCCTCTTCCTATCCCTCGTGGATTTCTTTTCTAATAGGCAGTCTAAAACAATGCTAACCAAATACAGTTGGTTCTAAAATTACAGAGAAATTGCCACAGCGGTTACTTTTTATCACTTCTGAAGTGACTTTGTATTGTTCTGTCAAGTTTTCTGAGCAGTTGTACTTTGTACATGGCTCTATGCCGGATCTAGCTTTGTAAACATTTGGTACATTCACTGTTAAGCCTTTCTGAGCATTCTTCACGGGATGATACAGACTTCCAGGAGGAAATGACGTAGCCTTGGTAAAGCGAGAACACCAGCAAGCAACGCTAAGATTATGACAGAAGTCACTTAGAGAAGGGCAGGTAGGGTCTAAAGGTGTCCCGGGATTGATTTTGTTGACATGATCATGGCTCAAGTGAAGTATGTCATTAGCAGTAACACTGACACTTCCCAAGTGCTAGGAAGGCAGGCATTAGTAAGCCGACGGATGCCCTTGTTTTTGAAAGGGTTGGAGGTCCACTGATGAAAGGGGAAAAATTATTCATAAAAAAGACAAGTTGGTGTTCCAAATGGAGAACAGTCTTGTTTAAACATGTCCCCAAATCATAATTCTTTACCAGCTTAAATTTGTCTTCTTTCTCTTTCTCTTCCACACCCATTGTTACATCTTCTTACTGTGGTTGCTCAATATATTTTTGTTTAGTTTTTTTTGTTTGTTTGTTTGTTTGGGTTTTTGAGACAGGGTCTCACTATGTAGCTTTGGCTGTTCTAGAACTCACTATATACACCAGGTTGGCCTAGAACTCACAGATACAGGCCTGCCACTGCCTCCTTAAAGGCATGTGCCACCAAGTCTGCTTTCAACATTTTCTAATACACATCCTGAGAACCAGTGAGCAGCAGGTGACAAATCTGCCTTAGCTATGTGTGCAGGAGAGGCAGCCATACCCACCATCACACATACAGTTCAAGTCCAAGTTCTGTGGGGTGTAGGTCCTCTGCTGTGGAGAATGCAGAGAGGGGCTTCATGTGTTGGTCCTGAAACTAACCTCACATCTCTTTTTCAACTTGCCTTTTCTCAACTATCAAGAGCAGATACTAGACCACATAATTTTGGAAATTTAGCAGCTCAGAAATGGAAGAATATAAATCTATAAATATGTAAAGTTCACCGACGTGACTCAAAAAATTTGGCAAAGGCATGGCCTACATGAGACTGGGATATGCTAAGCTATGTTACTAGCCCTGCACTCATTTGAGGTTGTGCGTCTGTGAAGCACAAAGTCCACTTTTACAAGATTAATCTCACAAACACACTTGGCACTTTGCACCGACACTCTGTTCCATGCTTATTAGAACATGCTTACAATTTAAAGAAATTTATTCAAGCGTGCATAAAACTGACAGCAATCATAATGTACTTCCCCACACCACACACACACACAGGCACACAAACACACCCCAAATCATGAACTATTATACAATTGTTAACAAATAAAGTCCACGTGTAACTGAGGAAAATACTGAATTCATTTCAGCTATGATGTCATTTTTCCTTTTGCATTAATGAATCCAAATTTACTTTCTGTTCTTTTCTCTCCATCACTATTTCTGCTGAACTATGATGGGCCATTTAGCAGCTCTGTTTAATGGTGCTGCAATTCAAACCAATTACACATTTGACTAGAGCATGAGTCTGATATTAATCATTCTAAAATTATCATCTATGAAATGCTGGGAATGTTTAGGACATGGTCAAAACCTCTACAACATACATAAACACACACAAATAAGTCAAACTCTGCTTCCAGATTTTATTTCATATTCCAAATGTTTCCTGAAGTCATTACTAGCGGCTTTTGTTTTTCCAAAATTTTTAAAGTGCAGGCCCTGTTATAGCTATGAGATTTTTTTCTTATACCACATATTTCGAGATTTGATAGTGGCAAATGACAGTTACTAAGCTGTGTTTTCTTTTACAATAGAGTTTTTGAAAACTAAAAACATATTTTGGAACAAAGTCTATTAAATTTGGCTTATAGTTATTTGGGAGTCAGCCTCTAAGAGCATGTGATACAGTGCCCAAATCTCATGGAAGACAGTACTGAGGGTTTCTTAACTGATGGACTAAATTTCCTTCTAAATCACATGTTAGAAGGAAAACTAAGACTAGAAACTAGAGCCTGCCTTGGGCCCAGCATCCTCAACAAACCACTCAGCAAACAGCAGTTTTGCTGATCAGTTGTTCCTCTGCATTAAAACAAATACATAAAACAGGAAAAACACGAGGCTATTAGTAGGTTACTTTATAAACAAGATATTTAAATCTTAAATTAGTAGTACATGTCAAGGGTTGACACAGAGGAAGGCTCATTTCCACAGCAGCAGTAGCATCCACACAACATACCCCCTTAGCCACTGCCCTCAGCCCTTCCCCCCTCCAAGAGAGGCAGTGCTGCTGGCTGCAGATTTCTTCAGCTCTATTTTCATAGACTGAGTCTCAGCTCGAGGCTCGAATTTGGTCAGATTTCCTGCTCCTGGGGCTGCCACTACTGGCTTTCCTGCTTTCATACCTTTTGACATAGGAATGCGGGTAGGTGTAGGCCGCTGAGATGACCCATCTTGTCCTGACTGTAAGAGAAAACAGAGACACAAAGGAGACGGTGAGTTCCCCAGGTATGCCCTCGACCTGCATGCTAGCATGATTCCTGCCACAAAAGAACACCACAGATGACTCTTCCCAGGTGAAAGGGCCAAGAAACCTGGAGTCCCCATCTAATCTGCTGACTCCTCCCTTTTCCCTTTCTTGAAACGTCTCCACTGAACTTCCTTCTCTAACCCTAACCTTCTCTGCTCTTAAGAAGATGACCTTAGTGCCTAGCTTATAGAGGAAATACAGGCCCCCAGCTACAAATTTGAGTACCACTCTCCCTCCCTCCTGCCATTTCAGAGGAAGCAGCTCTTTCCACTTGTTAATGACCTCAGATTTCTCTCAGGTTTTTGCTCACAGTGCCAACCGCATTCATCTTCTATAAATGACCCTCACATTCATTGCTTTGGTTTCTGTGAGTCCCACCAATGCTTCAAGGCTCTGTTATCTCCTTGTCTTGATGGCTCCTTGTTCTACCTAACCTGCTTCTAGATGTGTCACCACGTCCTAGTCTCAGTCCTTTCTAAAGTTTCCACATTTACCCTGAGAATCCCTTTCTTTTTACCCCAGGCTAGCCTTCGAACCTCTACTTTCAGTTCTTCCTGACATGCAGATCTCGTTTTCAGCTACTCACTAGACATGGGCAGCATCCCACAGCAGCTAAAAAATAACGTACTGGGGCAGTGCTCACCCTCATCCTCAGTCAGTCTCCTTACATTCATCATCCTAGTCACAGTCACCAAACCACCCTCCGTATACAGTTTGTCTTGAAATCGTAGTTATTTTTATTTCCCCTTTTTGTCTTTTCTTTTTGAGGCAGCTTCTCATTTCATAGCCCAGGCTGGCCTGCAGCCCTCTTGCTAGAATTACACATGTGCACCACCATATCTGGTTCTTAATTCTATCTTCAGTATGTCCCTGTCCTTGTTTTTACCTCATAGATGAATTCTATACCATCTCTAGTCTAGATAATTAGAATGGCATCCATCTGTAGCCCGTGTCCCCTTCAATTTATCCTTTAAATTGTTTTCTAGAGTATCTTTCAAAAGCAAAAACAATGTGAAATTTTTGTCAGGATAATTCCCTTTCAGTCATTTCCTTTAATTAGTCAATGAAATTAAATGCCACTTTCATAATGAGACATGTGCCTGTGTTCAACGTCCAGTCCCAGACTGCTTCTCTATTTTCCTCGTCTGCATTTTCTCTCCACACCCACTGCCGCAGCGCAATGAGATCACTCACCGTTCACCAAACTCACCAGGCCAATTCTCATGTCCACGCTAGTGCTACAGTTCACTACTCCTTTCCGTGGCCTCCCGATCTTTGATAAATCCTTTGGTTTCTTTTTGCAAACCTATATCACAAAACCACTAAGTAGTTCTGGCCTAGGCCTGCCTCTCTGACTCAATGACCTCAAAGTCTCAAAAGACCTTACCCAATGAAGCTATGCTTTCTGATGCCTAAAAAGCAGTTTAGAATCACTTGAGAAGAGTGAACAAGTCTGACTGCTGTTTGGCTCAAGTAGAGTCAGTAACTCAAAGCCTTACTGGCAAAGCAATTAGCAATTCACACTTTAAAAGTCTGGGTTGAGACTGCACAGAACATTAATGTAAATTATATTGTGGACGTGGGCAACAAGCCATCACTTCTATATTTAAATAATAAGCTTTCTTTTTTTAAAAAAAAATAATTTATTGAGAATTTTCTACAGGGATATAAGGTGTTTTGATCAAATCCATGCCCACTCCCTCCCCTCCAACTCCTCCCATATCTCCCCATCACTTTTTTCTGCTACTCTAAGATTTCCCCCCTCTGAAGAGGTAACCCTAAAATCTTTTAAGGATTAGATAAGAGCTCCCACATACTTTCAACATTTTTGGCCTTTGGAACAGAGTATGTTGTTAAGAGGCACAAGGACATTTTGACTTTCAGCCAAGAACCTGGCTACTTTTCCTTGGGGTCTTTTTACCCTAACTGCCTAGCCAACTCCTACCTCTTATTCTTATCACACCATCCTCTGAAGAGGTTACCCAGCTTGGGGATAGGGAATTGGGATGCAGACCACTCTGACTTCTTCCATGCTGAATAGGGATGCAGGGTGAGGCAATTGGGGTACCCCTTCGGTGGATCTATGTAAAAGACTCTCAAATTACATAACTCATCATCATGTGGAGGCAGGATCTGGGCATTCTCAGACAGTCCCCTGAGTTCTTAGCCCCTATGCCAGAGGAAGGCTGGAAACGGGCATTCTCTGGCAGTCTGCTGAGATCACAGCTGCTACACAGATGGAGGTCAGAACCCATCTTCCATCAGCTTTCTTTTTTAAAAAAAGATTTCAACATAAGCTATAGAATTTGTTCAGTGGCTAAGAATCAAAATTTCTAATCTGTTTATTTAAATAGTACATGCTATTCTATAAGAATTTTTCTTTTAATTTTTAAAAATATTTAATTTATTATTTCTATTTTATTTTATTACATGTGTGAGTGTATTGCCTGCATGCAAGTAAGCACACCTACGTTGTGCAGTGCCCACAGAGTTTAGAAGAGGGTGTCGGATCCCCTGGAACTGGAGTTACAAATGGTTGTTAGCCATCATGTGGGTGCTGGGAATCAAACCCAGGTCTTCTGCAAGAGCAGCCTGTGCTCTTAACTGCTGAGCCATCTTTCTAGTCCCTGTTTGTTTGTTTGTTTGTTCTGAGACAGTGTCTCCCTGTAGCCCCCTAGAACTTGCTATGTAGTCCAGGCTGGCCTTGAACTAATAGAGATCTACCTGCCTCTGCCCTCTGAGTTCTGGGATCAAAGGCCTGGGCCACCACACCTAGCTCATGTTCTTTATTTGCCCCGGTAAATAAAGACAGTAATGGAAGTATTTTGAAAAATACAACTTACACTTAAGCTCTACTTTGGACATTTTAAAAACAAGCATTCAAGCTAGTCATTGAATAAATATTTATGAAACACCTGCTCTCTGCAAGATGTAGTTAAATAAAATCTAAAGTCATTTTTATATGTATTTTTAATATCAAAGTCTTTTAACCTTATTTTTGGAGTAAAGCATGATTGTGGCCATACATAATCACCATTGAACATTTAGATTATAGAAATAAACCTGGGTATAGTTTTAATTCTTCCTGTGTATGGAGTATCTATTCTAAAAAAACATTTTGAGGCAAAGGCATGTGGATCTTTGTGAGATCAAGGCCAGCCTGGTCTACATGGAGAGTTCCAAGACTGTTGGTACTACAGGGAGAGCCTGTCTCAAAAAAAAAAATTTTTTTTTGAACCTAAGAAAATCAAACTTTGGGGCTGGAGAGATAGCTCAGTGGATAAGAGCCAGTACTGCTCTTGCAGAAGACCAGGGTTTGGTTCCTAGCACCCAGGCCAGGTGGCTTACAGCTGCTTGTAAATCCAGCTCCAGGGGATCCAACACCTAGGGCCTCCTTGGGCACCTGCACTCACATGCACATACCCCCACACAAACTATATACATACACATAATTAAATCAACAAATTGTTGAAAATAATTTTAAGTCAGGCATGGTAGCACATACTTTTAATCCTAGCATTCAGGAGACAGAGGCAGGCAGATCTCTGTGAGTTCAAGGTCAGCCTGGACTGCATAGAGAGTTCCAGGCCAGCTGAGGCTACAGAGAAATCCTGTCTCAAAAATTAAAATAATAATCATTTTTAAAGCATAATTTTAAAAATCAAAATTTAAATCTTAGGATTATTCTATGGTCCCATTTCAATGATTGTCTTTGCAAGTATTGTGAAGGGCTCTCCCTAACATAAATGAATGAAAAACTTCCTCAAAATTGGCCCAATTTATCAAAATGTCGATTTTCCACTTCTCGGTGAGACCTTTCCCTCACATGGGTGCAGGCAGCTCTCTGGGACACAGTGATGGAGGCTGAGGCACTGCCTTCCCTCACCTCACTGGCCTGGCCTAGAGCTCCTCTACTCACCACTGACTGGGTTCCTCGGGTGGAGGAGGTTGTGACGGGTGTGATGGTGATAGTGCTGGTCACCTTGCTCCCGCCAGGTCTGGAAGAGAGGTGGTTCCTGGGAGAGCGAAGTACCGTGCCGGTGGATGCCTCCTTTTCGGCTGTCACGTTGACTGGCCGCACGGTGATAACTGGACTGCTGCCTTCAGCCACAGGCCCAGGGGATCGCTTAAACTGAGAACCTAGGTGGATATGAATTTTATTGTCTTCCGTGGTTATGATATTGGCGTTGGAGTTGTATTTCCGCAGTGGGGTGGAAACAGTCTGTTTTTCTGGGGTGACTTTGAGGACAGTCCTTCCCATAGGCACTTCCTGGGACTCAGGAGAAACCGTGATTTCTGGGGGTGCTGCGGAGGTTGACACAGTCATGATCTGGATGGGGGACGCAGGCCTGTCTGCAAACGTGCCTCTTCCACTGTCTGGGGTCTTCTCTCTGGAAAAGGTAGTAATTGTGACCGGGGACATGGCTCGTTCTGGGCCAAGAGTAGGATCTGCACTTTTGGGCTTTTGAGACACGTTTGGTGATGGGATAATGGTTATCCTTGGTTTCTGATTGCCTAAGGTGGGAATGACAGTGGTACTAGAAAAAAACTCTTCTGATGTGGGGCTGGTGATCTCCAAGGTAGCTGTGCTGTTCTCGTGGTCCGGGGTCACACGGATGTGCAGGGGCTGGCCCTGCTTGGGTGCCAGCACCAGCTCCCCCGGGTGCCCTGCGCCAGGGTTCTGCCGAAGCCCTTTCTCCTGCGGGATTGAGGGACTGTTTTCTCTTTTCCTCATCCAAGGAATCCAGGACTTCCTCATGGTGAGCTCGTTGGCTGCTGGAGGATACCTGTCGAGCACCGAGGACCGTTCCACCGGTTTCTTCAGTCCCACCTGTCGAAGATTACTCATAATGTGGTTTTCTTCCTGGAAGGACTTGCGTATGAACACAGCCGGCGTGTCCTCCTCGGCAGCATCTGAGCACAGGGAGTCAGTCTGCACCCCGGTGGAGGTCACCGGCACGTCCACCATCCTTCGGCCATTCATGCTGGGCCTGAGAGCTCGGCTGTAGCGCTTGGAGAGCTCCAGCTCCTTGGTCAGACTGAGGACCTCCTGCCCCATGTCTTTGTTCTTACTCTCTTCTTCCATAAATCTCTGTTGAAGGACTGAGTAATCGACTTGGAGTTGAGAGAGCTGATCTTCTTTGTTCATTAATTCGTGAATCTTCTCTTTAAGAGCCTGCACCTCGGCCTTTAAGTCTCGACTTTTTGCCTCCTCCAGCCGAAACCTGTGTCTCAGCTCGGCCTCCTGGCTCACAGCCTCCCCCTTCTCTATTGCCTTGTTCTTGGCTATTTGATGCTTGATCTCCTCCAGCTGCTGGGAGAGGAAGTTGGCTTTATCCTGCTCGGTTCTGAATTTCTGCTCCAGCTGGTCATACTCGTCCTCTGTCTTCATCAGGTCCCCTTCCACCACCTCCAACTGTTGGAGCCGCTTCTTCAGCGTCTCGATTTCCAGCGTCAGCTCCTTGATCTTGCTGTCGTCTGGGCAGGTGCGTTCAGGCCCCTTGCGGGCCCTTCCTCGGCTCGTTTCTCTTTCTGCTTCTTCTATGCCATCAAGCCTCTTCTTCAGTAGGTCGACACTGCAGCTCAGTTCACAGGACCTCTCCTCTTCACTTTTCAGCTTCCCCATCAACTCATCTCTCTCCTTTGTCAGACTGTACACCTTTTCCTCCATTTCCGACTTCAGTTTTAAAAGCTTCTTGCTTTCCTCAATGAGCTTCTCAGTTACATCCATAACCTTTCCCTGCTCCACCTTAAAATCTTTATTCAGCCCATCCACTTTCCTCTCTTCCTGCTTTATTTTCTCCATCATGTTTTTCCGTTCATCCACCAGCATCACAGTAAAGGACTTCAACTTCGTAAGGTCATCTTTGAGGCTTAATTCAGCCTTTTCCAGCCTGCTTTCAGAGCACTCCAGTTCTTTAACTCGGCTCTTGACCACCTCCAATTCGTTTAGCAGGTCTTTGGTCACGTTCTTCTCTTTCTCCAGGTTTACATGCAGCTGGCAGCATTCGGACTTGCTCTTGCTAAGCGCTTCCTCCAGTCTCTCCAGCTCGGTCATTCTCTTCTGCAGCTTCTCCACTTCAATTCTGAGCTCCCTGCTGTGGTGCTCCTCCTCCTGCAGCTTGGCCCTCAGCTCTCGGCACTGGGACTCGGTTTTAGTGATCTCCTCGTCTTTGCCCTCCATCTCAAGCACGCGCTTCCGGAGATTTTCCACCTCCGCCATGAGGCTGGAGTTGCCACATTCCCCTTTGGCAATCTTATCTCTTAGCTCCTGGAGTTCCTCCTCTGCCTTCTGAAGGTTTTTATTGGTCTCCTCCAGCTCCTCAATTCTCTGAGATAAGCCCACCAGCTTGAGTCTGAGTTGTCTGTGGTGAGATTCTTGGTTGGCTAACTTAGCGTTCATCTCTTCATGCTCTTGGCAAAACCGTGAGGCCTTGTGTTCAAAGTCCACTTCTAACTTAAGCAGTTTCTGCCTGTCTTCTTTGGATTTGTAAGTAGCAGCTTTGAGCTTTTCTTCTTCTTCCCTCAGTTTCTGAGTCAGGTCCTGCACCTTCTGGCTTTGCAGGCCCAGCTGCTCGATGTGGATCTGCCGTTCATCCACGAGCATGAGTGCAAAAGATTTGAGTTTAACAAGCTCATCTCTTAGTTTATTGAGTCGCTTAGCATTTTCTTTTTCTTTGTGGGCTTGGTAAGCCTTTTCTTGTTCAAGGAGCTTTTTCAACCTAGAAAACAAAATGGAGCTCTAAGTTAAAAGAGAGATCAGCAAATAGATTAAAGTCTTAAAAAAAAAAAAAAGCATAATGTTACCACAGTAATTCTTTACTCCTTGGTTACCGTATGACTTACCATCAGTAAAACTAATTGTTAGACTAGCAAAAAGTCCCATAAATTTAACTGGTCCAGACAATACAATGTCTAGTCTATCTTTTGGAAGACCCACTTTTACAGTCTCACTGGTCAATTACCTGGGGATAGAACCGATCCCAGGAAAGCAGGTTCACCTTAAGTTATGCTAAATAGATGGGTGGAATACCTGGTGTGTTAATTAGGTAGTGAATATTTCCTGCCTGGAACTAGCAAAGATCTCTGCAGAACTTCCGGACCAGCCCTAGTCATGTAGGTCTCTGCAAGTCTGTCTGCTTTCCTGGATTCTTCAGGAAAGCATAATTTCTCCTTTTCTTCTTCATGCCTTTCTTACTAAACATGCTTTCTTTAAGGCTTTGAGCTGCCCCTAGCATCTTGTATTTCTTCACTTTTTCTTTAAAGCTTCCTTCTCCCAGCCATGTGGCTGCCAGTCAGCCACATGTTTGATCTCCCATGCAGGCTCTAAACCTGCATTGCTCTATGACATTCTTTCCTTCTTCCCACCATTCACCTCCTCAAGGCATCTGCCAAGATTACCAGCTCTTCTGACCCGAGGATTTTCTTTAAGATTCTAATAAAATTGTAAAAGCTTCTGTTTAGGTCCATTCGTAAATTCTTTTATGAAGGAGACTAAGAACCCTATAGGGGACCCTCTTTCTCCCCGTTTCATAATCAGAGGTCATGTTGGCTGTGACACTTGCAGAGGGGTGGTGACTTACGAAGGAACATGAGACAGGCTCAGAGGGTACTCATTTCTGTTTCATGATTTACCTGCTGGATTGCTTAATTTATGAAATTTCATAAGCTGAATGTGTGATATGAGTACCTTGGGTTGTGCAGTAGTAATGAGTTTATGGAATGTGTTCTGTATTCCAGGAACTAGTATCTACTTTATCTAACCAGTAACCCTGTGAGAAGAGTACTGCCACCCCATCCTCATTTGGAAAACAGGATGTAGAGGCATTATGTAACCTGCCACACGCATTAAGTGGCAATGGCATGCCACTCAGCCAACAGGCCTCCAGTGTAAGAGTGAAACCACTGAGGACAAGTCAGCCTTCGGGTTGCAACAGCAAGAGGTTTATTTAGTACACAGGTACCTGTGGGCACAAAGTCTCCTCGGAGGACTTGCACGCCCCCATGCTGGGTTTTGGCACTTTTATAGAGCAGAAGCGGGGTACAGAAGCAGAAGCATGGTTATTGGCCCATTCAAACGAGTACAAAGCATGAGGAAGTTAAGTTGCTAAATTCTGGGTGGGTGACTTATGGTACAGATGTTATTTCCTGATTTCCTGGTATCGAGCCCCGGGGATTGCCAGATGCAGATGGCTTGACCACTACGTCCTGTTTTTCTGATAAGCTAGTTTCTCAATGCTTGACCTCTTGTCAGGCATTCCTATCAGGTGGCCTCATGGCGCCTAGGTTTTTCAATGTGACTTGGGGTCATTGAAGCTTCTTAATCTGAAATTAAGATTAGGTATTAAGGAAAGTAGGTGTTGGCATACTCTGTTTTAATGTGCATTTTTATTAAATTTTTGTGCATTTCATAAAATGCATCTTAATAATATTTAGAATCCCTACCCTGTTTGCACCCCTCATAGACCCAGCAGAGTTCATGCATTCTGTCATATATGTTAAGGCCTACCAAGTCAAGTTTGTGTTCCAGGATGTCCCTTAGTGAATCCACGAGAGCCTGTTCAGCTTATCTAGCATCACTAACTTAACAAAGGTCAATTTCCCTCACCCCAAAGTGATCAGCTGCCAATAGTTCCTCAGATAAGGCGGGGGCCCATTTCCCCACTTGGATGTTCAGTTTTTGTCTGAGTTTGCACGGATCTTGTACATGCTGTCACCATTGCCTGGAAGACTCTGTTTTATTTTCTTAAAGAATATCTATTGCTCTAAGTTCATATGAGCAAGGTCTGTAAGGGTCTGTTTCCATATGGTCATGTGCTTCCTCCCCTGGCTCATAATCTTTCAGCCTCCTCTTCTGTAATGGTCCCTGAACCCTGGGTTCATCACCCTCTGTTGCATGAGGGAGCTTCCTTGATGACAGTTGAAAGATGCATTAATATGCTCTCTACCCCCTTGTTCTACTATATTCCATGAGTCTTAGATGTAGAGGTTTCATTGCTTAGAGTTGGGCATTTCTTAGACACTCTGTCTCTGTCACAAGACCTGTGCAAACTCAGAAAACTAGTATAGAACTGTGGAAATAGGCAGCAGACCCCAATCTTAGCAACAGAAGTATTGAGAAACTGATTACTACTGGGTGAGGAAGAGCTGATTTCTTTAAAGGTGTGACTCTAGATAGGCTGACTAGATCCCAGTGGATGAACTTGTACTGAGGGACATCAGGACACATTAACTTGACTCGATAGGCCTTAACAAAAATGAAAGAATGCATGAAATCCACTGGGGTGGGGGGCTATGGGAGGGTGCAGATGGGGAAAGGGGTTTTAAAAAAAAGGACTAAAATGTCATATATGAGATACCCAAAAATTTCAATAAAAAATACTTTAAAAAATGTCTATAGTTCTTCCTCTCCAGCTTCCCTGATTTTCTCTTTTGTTTTTGTTTGGAGGTTTTTCTTATACAAACGTCTTGATTTTTCCAAGGTGCATACCCATTTCTAACACATACCCCTGGACACTGCAATTCTTGCATATCTTTAGATATCACTTTCTTACCTAGTTTTCAGCGTGGTCTGCCTACCTTACCTCCCTTTGATTATTTTTAAACATTTCATAGACTTATATTTTCACAGCCCCTCAGTGAGCCATTCTCCGATACTTCCTATGGCTGTTTGAGATGAAAAGACTGAAGTTCCTAGTCTTACTAATATTTGAACAAACGATATTCAAGCCATGAGATGTCCTATTTTACAAGTTTTTTTCTTTTTCTTTTTTCTTTCTTTTTTTTTTTTTTTTTTTTTTTTTTGGGTAATTCTTACCTTGGCCAAATTGGTGGGGCGTTGCCCCGCTGCTTGGAGGCCCGCTGTGAGCAACTGGCGATAAGGGCGTAGGTGTCCCCTACCTTCAGGTGTGTTGAAGTCCCAATCTGGTCTGGTCAAGGGAAAGGCAGCTTCTATACTACTACAGGATACAAGGGGGGGGTCGAAGGGTCCGAGGGAGGGGCAGAAGGAAGAGGAGTGAGAGGAGTTCTTCGTGCAGGATTGAGAAAGGGCGTCACCCAAGATGGAGCTTCAAGGGAGAGGCTTTCCCAAGTGACTATATAGGCCACCTGGTCAGGATGTCCCATCGATCCAGGAGAGAAGATCTTAGCTTTAACCTGCAAAATAACATCAGAATCAAAAGT